GAAAGTATAGGATATATAACTGCCTGAAAAAGCTCGATTTTGTAAGAATTTGTAGGCTGAGGCAAACACCAGTTTTTCAAGGCCTACTCCCAGGCCGTTTTTGGCTGACCTCGTCTTACAGCCAGTTTGTGTCGATTAGAAATCAGTGGGGCTATGCGTTGCACGGGAACTGCCTAGGGAGGCCTGTTCTCGACACGGGCCTCTTGTTCTCACACTCGAACGGCAGGAACACGACCCGAGAACATTGTTATAGGAACGAGATCACACATCACCTCCTCGTCAGGGTATAGCACGAACACACGGGCCAAAGACAATGAATGTTTTGCAAAAATGAACATTGCTAATTTTCCATAACACAGAAACGAATGCTTGTTTTTAAATGAAACAATGCGGTCAATTTATCAAAACATTAGCCCTCAAAGAACATACATGTACATAGACGTGGCAATGTTGCATGTTGCTTACGACTAACTACCAGCGATAACCGGTTGTATGTGCCTGGCGTTCGAGCGGCCGTCCCATGTACAGCAAATCGAGCTGTTCGTGAACATACAAAACACAAGCCGCACGAAAACAGCCCCAAAGTACGTGAAACTCGAAAAAAAATTGTCATTATTCCTGACTACATCTTCTGTAAAGGTTATGTTTCTGTTTACACACTATTTTTCCAAGAGATTTCTTAAAGAGGAACCAAAATCTTGGAGGAGGTTTATCCCCGGCTGTGAGCAGGTCAAAAAATGTCAAAGTATGGTAAGGATCAGCATTTTCGGTTTCAGACATGCACGTTCCAGTTCCTCCCAGCAAGATATATGAAAATCCCTAAGTACGGGTAGCACATTTCTGAGGGTAGCGAGTGGAACCGTTGGAATTAGGCTTCGAGGATTGCCCACATTGTGCAGGTTGATATCCACCATGGGCATCATAACTTTAACCAGGTATGATATCCCTTGTTTTTTTGTTTTGTTTTGTTTGTTGTTGTTTTAAAGCTTATGGGAATTAATCAGAAATCATTTTACTTTAATCATTTTGCTGGCCCAGGCTGAGGCATGCTACCCACTTTTTGAGAGTCCAGTTGACAATATAACAGACATGACAACATTATTGGAAAAACACACTGGAATGAAGGTAGATATGAAGTTAAGGAGTTTCAGGAAGAGGGAAATAGAATTATTCTGATCATTTGCAATAAGAGAATACACCCACATATAGCAGAGACAAAAACGAATTGGAAAGAAACTGGCATCGTAAATCACGTAAATGTATGTTAGACATTTTGAGAAGGGAAGGTACCTTCATGGGTGGATTCCTGATTTTGAGGTTGCCTGGGATCGAGTAGTTCGGGAGCGACAATAGTTCTTGATCTTGATGGGACGATTTGAAGTGGCGACTTCCAACATCCAGAGCGCGGGATAGGACGGGTGGCCGCTGCGAGGCGCGACGTGGTACTGGCGGCAGCGGCGCCATACTTCTGACGCAAGTCCGTGGACACGAACACGATGACTCAGCGACGATACAACCTCGGCACAGCGAAGACGACAGCGAGCAAGGGCGCTCCTAACCAGCGAGTCTGGCGGTCGGGCGATATGACATTGCCCGTGAGTGTGAGATTTCCTCGTCCCCGCTGCAGCAGACTGAAGGCCAGAATCCTACGAGGGACAAACTTTGGCTGCTTTTAATTCCGGTAGGAAATTGCTACAGGGCTAACCATTCCACTGGTTGGCATGACTGGACGTCAGCGCGAGAAAAAAAGACAATTCTTTGCAATGTGTTGAAGTGAAGACGCCCGTTGGACACGCAGTTGAAGTTACAAACATGTAACTACGTCAAGAGATAGTAGAGTGGAGTTTGTCATCGATGCACACATCAGATGTTTGACAGCGCCAGGGTAAAAGGCAACATACGTTGATCAGGTCGAGGAAAACTGCTAACAGAGAAAAGGTTAGGCCTATACAGACAAATGGTGTTCTTTCATGTTCTCATACATTGAGGGAAGACTGCAATATTGCACAGTCTAAAAAAAAATAGAACAGCCTGACAGACAGCGAAACCAAGTAACAGTCGGTAAAAATAAAGCAGAAACAAAAACCACCCAACAAGTAGACGGACAAAAGCTTACACATGTAGCCATTCTGTTTCCTGATGACAATGCAAAATGGCACCATCTGAGTTGCGATCTGCTATTTTAAGCTCACTAGCAGTATCGGAGCATGCTCCCGTAGCTTGATATACCTGTGTGCACACCGAGAAGGTCGACCACGACAAACGGCAATATTGTTGCCTGGGTGCATGCACATGTGCTATACTGTTGGCCCCAAAGTTATGCGGCCGTGGCTGTCTGCCCATTTACAGAACACCCACACTTCCCACCGTGGACCTGCCTTATTTCGTTTTGTGCATGCGCATTTTCCAACGGCTCAATGTGCAGTCAACCGTGAAGAATCGAGGAGAAACCCTTTTGTATAACACCTGTGCGAAAATGTTTACCTGTACCTGTGCGAAGTTTTTGAAAGAATGCAAAAGATCTCCTGAAGTTCCATATAACTCCATCCCTCTTAAAACGTGTTTACAAAAACAAATACCCTGCCAAGCCAATGCCCAACCCGAAAAGTTTAATTCGTGATTCCAAGATTTCATTTTCTTGTGGTTGTTACCTAGACCATTAGACCCAAATACCCAAGCCCCTCTGAAGACCACCATAAGCAATACACAAACCAAATTAGATGTCCTCATGTCAAGCCGCTGTCAAGGTGTGGCGCCAACACAATTTCAGTTGCTTTTGCCTTATAGCCTCAATCGTTGACCTTGCTGCCCTGAATTCGATAGCATTGACTCTTAGGACCTCCAAGAGCAATCCACAAAGCAAGTTAATTTGACGCCCTCGTATTAATTGTGGATCTTATCACGCTATTTTTTGGTCTTTGTTTTGGTGGTTTTTTTGGACACACGAAACACCTCCACTCACGGAAGGACAAGGCGGAAGCAGTTTCCCCCTTCGTCGACAAGGCATAACAAGGAGTCTCAGACTAATTTCAGGGGTATTAACGCAAGCCTTGTCCACGTCCACACGGTCAACCTACAGGTCTCAGCAACAATGAAACAACAGAAAACATCACAAATTCACCATTCACATTGTTTCTGTGACATCATTTTCCTAGGGTGTGTAGTACCCTGCATCTCATAGCACACCGTTTGGGGGTACTTACACCATAGATTGAAAACCCACACAAGGAAAACACGTGACAGTTACTGAAAATGACCGATACAGAGCTGATGGAAAAACAGTCGTGTGTAACGTGATTTAATAATCGCTTTTTTTTTTACATAGACTCGTAGCTAAAACGGGTACCCTTTCCTAGTAGTCTAATGTGGTGTAACTTGATGGCTCTGGTTGTTTCCATGGCTCCTTCTAGAGAGAGTTGCGACATGAGTCTCTCATTTTCTGGAACCGAAATGGTGGATTTTAAAGTCAGGACACATATGGACACTTAGGCACACAACGGCTGTGTGCAGTACTGCACATTATGTTGAACAGCCAAAGTTGGTTCAAATTTTGCGTGATCTATGCACATATCTGGGTTTGCCCTGGGCTGTGTATACCTAGAAAGAGTAACGCCAACTTCAGACCTTGGAACCAACATGGCTGTTCATTACGTGTGCAGTACACGGACGGATATAAAAAATTCTGGACTCGCAATGCCGTTAATCAGCTTATAGAGATCATTGAATCCACAAGTGGCTATTTTACCGAGCCAAATACAAAGCCTGCCCGGCAATGCCCGCCCCCTGTTCTCCCTGCCGTCAAAAGGTACTATGGCGAGCGAGCCAACCTGCGCATTTGTACTCGGCCCGGTAAAATGGCCGCTATTTCACACAAGGCGTTGCACGTCCAGATTTGTTATACACGTCCGTGGTGCAGTACAACATGCAGCTATTGTGCACGAAATGTCCATGTGCACCTCCGCATAAACCACCATCTTGGTCCCAACAATTGAGACGCTCACGTCGCCACTCTCTCTAATACCAATACCAGCTGTGGTTGTGTCCATGACACGTGCATAAATACAATACACTCATGAATATTCGGGTCAACTTCAGCTCAGGTTTCCCTTGGTTGTTTGCAACAAAAGAGCTGAGAGTAAAGTACTGCTTTTGTGGTATAATCAGAGGATTAAATAGTTCGTGGTATCGCTCGTCAGCGTTGGTAAACACTACCTTGGGGACTCAGCCCTGTAGGGTTTGAAATTGTCATGATATCTGTGGATTTTTCATTACATTGGATATCTCCTGCTTTTGTTGATTAATTTCATTTTTTCAACGGTTGAAACCGGTTGAAACCGGTAAAAGGACAACTGAGGTTGACTTTTTTTCAAGATGTATTTTTTTTTTTTTTGAGCATTAATAAGCACTGAGCATACAGTGCTTATTAATATACGTTGGGTAAGGGCAAACCTGTTATATATAATGAGGTTGACTTTTTTGGTGGAGAGTTTCAGAACAAGTGACCTACAGTATTGTGCGCTACGGTGGTCTGACACGCACGCCAACAAAGGTTTGGGGCTTTGAATGAAGACGGTGACGCCTACTGAGAAGGGATTAAAGGATTTGTGAGGAGACGTTGGTTTTGCCCTAAAGGATTTGGAAAGTGCGCAAGGCAAAATTGCCTAGTGATCTTAAAAACATAGATTTGTGTAGTGTCTTCTGAGAAAAATCACTCATTACTTTTCAGTTTCTGCTGTTCTTGTTTTTAATGTTTGCTTTATTCATTCTCCCGGTTTAACACAAATGACAAATTGCGGAGCATCGGAAAGACGGCTTATTGTGTGACATGAATATACATTGAATAAAAAGATCAAAGTTAAATAAGAGGTTCCTATGTGTTCACCGTAGTTTTCTGAATACAGGCCAGACGGAGTATAGCTGCACCAATCTACAATTTGCACATCAAAACTGCACGCTTTGCACTGCTGAAGTGCCAGTACGTGTAGAGCATTACGTGGCACCTTCGCGTGACGCATTTGGAGAATTCATTTTGCATTTCGGAAAAAAATCGGAAAATGGGGCCAAACTAAAATTACATCAGAACTTTGTAGCGGGTATGTGACATTGAGTTATGAATAAGACTATCTGGACTTTCGTGAAATTCTCCTTTTGTGAAATTGGAAGGAAAAAAATACACTGAAGCTATTGGCCATAAAAAGCAAAGTGCCCAACGTTAGGGTTTTCGCCACTTTCGGATGCGATATCTTCCAGTGTTATCACTAGCAGCGCACGAATGAGTGTTGACATTAAACCTAAACTTTCTCAAGCCCTCGAAATGACCAATTTTGTGGGCTGGATGAGTGTTCTTGCTGGGTGAGCCATGCAGCACTTCGTTTTGTTCTTTTTTTCAACAGTCACCAAATGAAATTGGCCTTGAAATTGACCTTGCCCGTCGCACTCGCTAACTACCGGCTGCACTCGGTAGGCCTACGCCACGTCCAAGACCTATTCATTGTCGACTTGTTTGGTATGCAGATCGACTATTCATCCTCAAGAACGCTTCGAAACACCTCACGAACATGAAGTACAAGAAATCTGAGAGTAAGGAGCTGCGAGAAAATCATTTACGGCGACTCCACAAGGATGAACGGGCCCACTTCGCATACATACCGTGGTTTTTCAATCTGAATAAAACTCCTTCTGGGAAGGCTCCTGGGTTTGCAAATATTAAGCTCTTTTGTTATCAAACAGGCTAAATATTCACTGGCCAAACCGCTGGCCGTGATCTTCGATAAATCTTTGACATGTGGAGTATCCCCTGATGGCTAAAAAAAGGCTCAAGTTATAACCGATATGATAAAAAGGCTGTAAACACGACATTAGTAATTATACAACAATTTTTGTTTTATCAACGTATTCGAAAAGATAAACTATTGGCCCTACACGCTTAATATCTTTCACATGCAAATATAACATTCTGCCTGAATCCCAGTTTGGATTCAGAAGTATCACTCCACCGATTGAGTGACATCTTACCTAGTTAACAAGCTTTGTAATGATATAGATAAAAATCACTTTTCCACTGGCCTGTTTTGGACTTATCAAAAACATTTGATACGGTTAACCACGATATCTTGATTCGTAAATTAGAACACTATGGCATCCAAGGAATAGCGCTAGACTTGTTTTCAAGATCCCAATATGTTTTGCTTAATTCCGAAAAATCTATAGAATTGCTCATTACCTGTGGTATCATTTTGCCTATTTGCAGATGACACACGCTTATTATATTCTGACAAACGTGGACTTCACGGTTCAGATCCTCAGCGCTGAGCTCCTGAAAATCAATTCTTGGCTATTGGCCAACAATTATGCGTAAATCTACTTAAATCAAATTAAATAATATCATATTTTGTAGCAGCCAGTTCAAATACACCCAGTCTTTACCCTTAATTTACTGTAATACTACTCTTGAGAGGGCAAAGGACAACATACGTGGCTACAGACTTCTTGAGGCTACAGACTCAGGACAATTTTCTTCGTTTTCCCCAAACAACATGGTTAATACGAAGGTAAGTGTTTGACTATTTGTCTGTCTGTCTGTCTGTCTGCTTTGCTACGGATTTTGTCTTCTGCTCGGGCCGTCATCTGTCACACTGTCTTGTTCATAAGTGTAATAAAGCAGTCCTCCATCGGGTGTATGAGAAAATAAATTGGTGTTATTTTAAGATGACGTACCTCTCATATCGTGTTCTTTCCCAGGCTTAATCAGTGAATCATGTTCCTTATCCTTCCCATATAACAACTGAGTATACACAGATGATAAATTCTTTTCAACTAATACAATATCTCCATCATTTCGACTACGCATGCAGTGGTCACTATCGCTTCCCAAGTGTGGACTGCATGCATATGCCTGCACGAGGCGTAAATCCTGGGGTGGTGGGCGTATATCCCTCACACTTTTTTGGGGTTGGTGGGTAATACTGAGTGGGGGTGAGCGGAAGATTAAAGTGGATTGTGAAGAATTCTGGACCTAGCTTTGGCTCTAAAGCGTACATTCAACATATAAAGTTAACATCATCTTCCAAAATACGATTACCAGAAAGAACTTTCAAAAGATGGCTTTATTTTTTTTTTAACATAAGCTTCCAAGGACACTTGTGAAATATCTCACAAGAAACTCCATGTTACCCCCTCGGTGTAAAATATTCAGGAGGAACATGTCAACAGGCACCCTACCCTTAATGCTTGTAATGAGGCTTCCAGTGATGGAAAAGACAATACCTACTTCCACAAACTACAAAAGGGCACCTCTAAATCATTTTTTTTACGAACAAAAGGAACACCTGCTCCGGGTCCAGTGTCTTTCTGCTGGCGGCAAATGATATTGTCACAAAGTTTAATGGAATTGACGATCTGAAGACCAAGGAGCCGTACAGTTATAATGTCCAAGTCTACAACCGAAAAGGCGTCTTGCTAAAGGAGAGACCCGGCGCCTGTAAAAGCATAGCGCCGAAGGGAACTGGTCGTGCCAATACCCAAGTTGTCGTTCAGTGTGACAGGAACTGCACCATGACAATAACTATTGCTGACGAGAAAAATAAATTTGCAGGAAGGGACGATTTGCTGTTTCATTTCTGTAGGAGAGTAGTTCCCCTTAAGGCTCTTCCTGCTGACATGAACCCCAACCAGAATCCGATTCGGATTCTACACGCCGCGGATACCAACGGTGAATGAGACAAGGACGGCGGATGAATGGCTCGAAGGAAAAACGAAGCTGGTATTCTGCGTGGGATCCAATTGCAGAATCACCTCCTGGCCTCGATTAAACTTTGTTAAGAAACTACAGAGCTACGTCCCGGTTGACGTGTACGGACGCTGCGGTAACCTCACCTGCAAACCCCGAACCTCCAAATGCAACAAGGACCTGGTGCGCAATTACAAATTCTATTTGGCTCTGGAGAACTCTGAATGCGATGAGTATGTCTCGGAGAAAACATGGGACAAAACACTGTTGGTAGGCGTGGTCCCTATTGTTTATGGTGCCCCACGGAAAGACTACGAAGAGTTTCTCCCTCCCAATTCCTTCATCTACGTCGGGGATTATAACACTGTCAAAGAATTGGCGGATTATTTGAAACTATTTGACTGAAATGCCAAGTATTTAGAATGACAAAATAAAGGTCGTGTCAGCAGCATTAAAGTTTTCTATAATCCTTTCGACCCATCAGGGTTTTGCCATGTAATACCATTGAAAAATCACTAATCATTGAAAAAGTGTGCCGAGGTGACCTGCCACGAAAGCCTGATCTTGCATGCCACCTTTTGAAACGTGTCGAATAAAGCCAGATTTTGTCGTAGATGATTGGAGTCCTTGGTAAGAAAGTACGTCATCAGGAAGACGATGATTTCGAGGGTTAAATAGAAACAAAAGGTTGTTATATATATATAATGTTATCACTAAGAAATAAAACAGTTACAACCGTTACTCTACTCCGGTTACTCTACTCTGGAATCACAAACCTAAGATACATTTAGTCCTGTGGCGTCTATCGAATTCAACCGTCTAGGTTCTGTAATTTTAACTGTGCATTACGTGTCATTAATTAAAGAGGTCACAAATACGTGACTGGGATCTCGGATTGACGTATCCCTTGCTAATTACTACAAAATGTGCATTCTTATTGGCTGAAATCTTGTCTGTTGCTGTGACCCTCCGGAAATGATAATTAATTTTCATTTGCTGTAATTTTAAATCGAAAAATATACATTCAATTTGATTAGAATATACAAGGTGACACAAATCATGACACCACTTTGAACATCAATGTCACGTTACTCATTTATGGTGTATTTATTATCAAACTTAAAAAAAAACAAGGTTTCTACGATTAAAACGCTGCAGCACAAGAAGGAAGGTTCCCCCAGCGCCGGTGTTTATTGGCTTCCTACTATTGTTGGTAGTTTCCAATAACAACATGAAGGGTTTATTTCAGTCATGAATATTCAAACATTTATTAATTAACCAATCAATTAAACACTTCTAAGAATGTAACTTCAGTTGGCACACAAACGAATTCTAATTTCTTGACCAGGCAAACGTTAGATAACACTAGTGCGCAAAATTATCTGCACATTTCCGATTAAGTTTAAATAGATTAAGTTCGAATTGAAATGAATGCAGGATTGCAGAGGTGCATTCAATTTCGCGCCAAAATTAATGTCAACGCTGACTCTGTACGATTGAAGGCACCCTCCTTGAAATAGAATTGTTATTTGTGAATACATAGAAACGGGGATTTGAATGTTTGTTCTATTTCGCTCGTAAAGGAATGCTGCCATCACTGATTCATTTACACATTTTCCGACATTGGCCGGAAAAACTATACTAACAGAAGTTACAATCTTAGAAGTGTTTAGTTGATTGGTTATGTTTGAATATTCACAAGTGAAATTAACCATTTATGCTGTCATTGGAAACTACCAACTATTGCAGGAAACCTATAAACACCGGCGCTGAGAAATTTTTCCTTCTTCTGCTGCTTTCCAACCGTGGAAAACTTATCATGTTTTGTTTTGTTTATTCCAAATATATAACCTTTTAAGATGAGGGTCTTCTAAGACCAAATTTGGAAGATGAATTCTCTGAAGGATTTTTGTTGGTAGTAATGCAGAGGTTAAGAAAAGGATAACAAATACATGTACCCAGCATTAAAATCAACTCACTTTTACTGATAATTGATTTCAAAACGAATCTGCAGAAAATTACGAGCAGAATGTTCTGCATAGCAATGGGCAGCGAAAACGTGTAATTGTGGTTTGTACGGTCTTCGCATGGAAGGATAAACCTACACACAAGTAATGCGTGAGAACATTTCAGATGAATTACTTATGGATAATGTCGCATAATTAGGAAAAATATTTCATTTGATTTATTCGACATCGTCCTGTTTTGATTGTTTTGTCATTTTGTGGTAAATTTACAAAAAATCGATTCACTTTTTATTAATTACAGTTTACAGTTTTTTTAAAAATATGTATGCTTACATTTGAAAATGCATTTTATGTGTTTGTGTTGTTACCCTTCAAACGTTTTCGAGTTGGAGTTCAACCGGTATTTGTGCTTTAATTTGCCCTTGTGTGTTCCTTTTTGCAGAGGCTACTGTGAATTCGTGGTCGTTGTGATTCCTGTAGGTGTTGTTGCTGCTGCACACTCTGAATGCCTTCCGTAGGGGTATTGGAATTACAGCCGTCGTTTGAGTTGGCTGCTTCCTGTTTGTTTAAAAATAGGCAGCGTGCACGCCATCGTTAGCATTGCAGGGACTCACAGCACAGGAGCCACAAAAGAACTTTAACCTTTGGGCAGGGCATAGCCCTATTTCACACAATGCCGTCGAGCTTTCCCAAAAAGAATGGCCTCGCACTGCGCTTTTCTCTTCTTACACTACTCAGAAATGTCAAGCATTTTTAAAATCGCTTTGCTGTGAGCATACAAAATGTAATTTTCATTTGTTTGACATGTAGCTTGCTGATCTATGATATGAGATTTATAACCCAGTTGTTCCCCTTTTAGGAATTACCGTGTCACAGGCTAAGAAAAGTGCGTTCGTTCCAAAAGAAAAAAAAACATCAACTCGGGATTCTGATGTCTCCTTCCAGTTTAATATTTCAAAAGTACTACGTTTCATAATTCGGTCACCTTTCCAAGACAAAACAATGAGATTCATGTACATTATTTCAGTAGGAAAAGGAAATACACAAACGTCTCCGCAAACGTTTTCGGTTTATCTGGAACTAGGCTTGACAAGGCCTAAACAGGTTCTCTGGGCTTAGATGTACACATCTTTCACAAAATAAGTATCGCTGGGAAACACGAAATAAATATTCAACTTTTATAAGCCTCAGAGTCATCTGTGTAGCCACATAAAAGCAATTGCACAAAGTACTATTTGCTAGTTCATTGATGTGTGTATCAAAATTATTCTTATGTACCTGCGGGCACTTTAGTTGTCAAAACGTTTGTCTTTAATCTAAACATTTTATCGAATATTACACCGCAAAAAACTGGGTTTAACCATTAAACACTTTTCTAAACATTCTTGAAGCTTTCAGTTGTCAAAATGTTGAAATGCAAACAACAAAGTTTTCAAGATCAATGTTTTATAAAACAAAATTTCCAACAAGGATTTGAATTTTCTCTTCACTTTTCAATGAGGAAATAATTTGATGTGTTGTGGCTGCTTTTCTGTGTCTACATTTTGCCTACTTTTTTTTTTATAATGGTGGATTACAGCTTAATTGAAATGACACAAACCCAGGTACATCTTCTATTGTTGTTCTAAGATCATACCGGTCTTGAGGCGACAGATCCGTCAGAATCGCTTCTCCCCGAGTGTTCGGTCCGGCACATGTGTATAATCTTGCTTGAAGAGTTAGCCTGTAAATTTTCCTGTATTGCTAATATTTGTAGCGCAATTTTAGGAGGAAATTCTTAAATGTTATCATTTAATTCCAAAATTGGCCTGGTAATTTGAATCCAAAGTTGCTCATTCTCAGAATGTAATAGCAATCTGTAGTGAGGGGGCATTTCGGAATGATTCAGCGATAAGAACATGTAAATATCAGTGAAGCTCATTTTGAATGGTTTGTAAAGTGTTTCAAAAAGTGCCAACCATACTTTCACGAGGTTGGTATAGCATTCATCCATTTCCTAGAGTCATGTGGTGGTTTTTAGTCTGCGCTGCAATGGCACACCGAGGCGCAAGATGAAGAGAATGCAGGTATATATCCAGCACTGAGTGTCGACTGCACAAATACTCTCATGAAGTTGATATAGCGTTCCTCAATTTCATAGACTCCTGTGGTGGTTTTTAATCCGATAGGTTTGGCTGCAATGACACACGGGTACGTACCAGCACTGACGGCGTTGACTGCGCGAATACCGTCGATGTTTCACTTAGCCCAAACCTGTGCACGTTATGAACGGAACAAAGGTGTGCACTCAGGCGAAGGGTTACGGCAAGAGCGCACGTTGCCTGTGTATCAATTCAGTAAATACGATGGATTGTATGGGACGGCGTATGACAGGGGTAGCCATCATCCGGTCCTGTCTCCTGCGATACGGCTTCGAATTTTGATCAATTTATGTTTACGCCGTAATGATTTATGTATGCCCTTTGAGAGCCAGGGACTGGCAGGAGTATTTTTTTGTTTTTAATTTGTCTTCAAGATGTAATTTGTCGTAGGTCTATGGAACACATAATGTCATATATGTATATTATAAATTAGGAGTAACAGTCGTTAGCGTCATTTGCAGTGACAACCGATTTCCAGTCACCTGATTCAGCTTGTCTTATAAAGGCTCGAATATTCTGCTCAGATGTGTTCCTTTTCCAATATTATGATGTAGTTGTATTCATTTTCTTTGTAATACATGGGCCAAATGTAATAATAGGCAAGCGATCACTTACATCTGATAATATTATTTCTGATTTATGTAAAGCAATATCATTTGTGAAAACATTATCGATCAGGGTTGCAGTACTGGATGTAATCCGAGTTGGTTTATCAATTAGTGGACGACAAGTAAAAGAGTACAGCAAACTTAGTAGCTTGAGTGCTTGATTGTGAGCTTCAAATCTCAGATCGTTATTTTAAAATCCCAAAGCAAATAACACGTTTTGTTTTCTGAAGAAATTTTCTCAAGAATTGCTTCCATTTCATCCATAAAAGTTGAAACACTTTGACAAGGTGATCTCTAGAGTAAACCTATTATGAAGCTTTTTTGTGTGCAGTTTTGGATTTCTATAAAACGTTACTCTATACTGTTTTCAGAGCCAGATATATCGGATCTTATAATGTAATAGAGCGAATCCTTATTGAACAACATAACACCAGTTGTTCTGAAAATGACTTCAATCTAAGTCAAATACTTTTTGACATTGACATTTTTCCTGTGCCGCTATTTTCTCAACAGCAGCGACTCGGCGCAAGTCTAGATCAAACCAACCCAAGTTGTAATATTTCACGACATTTGCATAATGCGCTTCAATACGTTGAGCGCAGTCTCTGTGGCCCTCGGGAGACGCACACCACGTACTAAGGTGTTCCTGAGTGAATTTCTTTACTACCCAGCAGAACTCAAACAAATGAAAGTTGGTGACATTTTCGAAGGGTTTGCAGAAGGCAGGCAGGGTGCCAACGTACCGCTTGGCGACGCAGTATCCCTGTAGCAACGGGTTGGGAAGCTTGTTGTAGTACCCTTCGTGTATGGAAACCTGAACATCTGGTACAGTCTCACTGGGTTTGATTTCGAAACCAGGAGGGACATGATCCTTGTTGTATGATTTCAAATCATTGTTAACATCTAAATGCCAGTCATAACGATCATGCTCAAAGTAGAAGGCGTAGTTCATGATGACGTTGACAGGGCTGAGATTATAAAGATTTCGAAAAGCGTCCTCGAAGCGAGTTACCTGCAGAGAGTAATAAGTAAACGGTGTTCGTTTGGTTGTTATTCTGACTTCTGCCGAAAACCATAACTACATTCTCTGCAAAATAAATGGTTTTGGACTGCGATAGAATCAAGTCAGTGTTTATTACACTGTGTCGTTATGAAAGTAATTACTATTTTGACTTACATTCATATGCCGTGATATGTGGTTCCTGCAATTAATGATGGTATCTCGCCAAATATAGACAGGAAAGTATGTCATGAAGTCCGCCACCATCTGCTTGCCAATCGCACGTTCTGTTGTTTGGAACCAACTGAGATCATGTAGTCTTTTCCAGTCTTGCGTGATGCTCACCACCCGTAGTCGTTGTCCGTTGACGATGTTTTCGGGGGTGACAGGCGTCGTGAATACACCGTCTGTGTCAATCCAAGCAATGATGGAGGCGTCGATGAACAGATCCATCATGAAACTGCTCCACAGCTGCCGACCATAGCCGAGGCCTAGACGCGATTTCAGTACGGTCTTATGGTCTTGAGGGAGAGGCTCGTACAAGAAGTTAAACTTAAAGCCAAGTTCGTGTTCCCGCTGAACCAGCCTGGCAGCAAACTTACGATCGTTTTTGGATTCCTCGTCCATTATCAGACTGATGGGCCCAAGCTTTGGTGACCAGAACAGCACAGCAGATCGCAAGAGGTCACAAAACAGACGCCGTGCAAACTTTGGTGTGCTTGTCATGCGGATGGTAAGAGTGAGGGTATGGTTTTTTGTCACGTTCAAATCGGTGTCTTTCACCACATTCGTGGCACCAGTAGACGCAGAGCGGTTCGGGAAAGCCATGTGGCGTCTGGGCGACGGAGGTCTCAGATACTGAACACTGCTTTTCGGAGATCCGCGGTTTAAGGCCGTGAAAACCACCAGTAATATGATCACAAATGCAAACCATCCACTCACCAATATCTTTCCCGGTGCCATGTCGAGGTTGCAGTGTACAAGCACAGTTGGCGTCCCTTGAAAGCCTGGTAGCCGGTAGACCTATTTCAAGTATTTGTTACGACATGTTTGCGTGGTAAATTAGCTGGACGGGCAAACCTACTGTAAATTCTGTGTTGGAGTCGTACGTGTGTAACGATTCTGCCCCCGAGAAAAACTGTGTCTGAATAGCAAAACAGTGCAGCCATACAGCAGACGGATCGTGGAGGTTCACACAGTTGCGTCAGTTCACTGATCCGTGACATAGGCCTACCGGCTAACCCACACACATGGATTCTCAACCAACAAACGTGTTTTGGGGCAATCATGGACGTTCCTCTTGTCCTCTTTTGTTCATACTTAAGCTTTTTTTGGAAGGCCTCTAATATGTTTTGTACACGTCTGGCAATCGTGGACGTATTAGGAATCGCGGACGGTCATTAAGTCTTTTGGGAATATCAGTGCACACATGTAGACACTGCAGACTGGAGGGCATACTTCCCAAACTATCAGACGGAGGACTTTTCGTCCATGTGAGTGCAGCCTATAACACCGAGGACATCACACACAAGTTCTTGGTTGTTTAAGCCGGTAAAATTAGGTTGTGTTATTGGCATACTACTGTAGGGTTCATCATCAATATGGTATAATGTTATCCTAAACAACAAATGTGCCCAGAAGTACATGTAATTAGACGAATGTGTTTGGTAAGTTCTCAACGGTGAACTACAAGATATCAATGTAGACAAACAGGTAACAAAAAATGGAGAAGGCAATTCTAAAAATGACTTTAGTGTACAAAAGTAAGTGCACTGATACTATTGTAAACTATGCCTGTCATTTACCGGAAGTGTTTCATCATCGTTTCTGCTTGTTCAGAAAAATGAGACATTAAAAACCTCTCTGGCCTATCCCCCCCCGACAACTTCCTGGATTCGCCCCACGTAAATGGATCTCAGTGTTCGTCCGGGTTTGTGATTTAACGGAACTTTAACATCATGAGACTGATACTGTCCACAACCGTATGCCACCGCAGTAATGAGGTCTAATTCTGCTTGGCGATGTACACTTTACTCACAGTTGTTTAGAAATGGAATTTGTTACCCTTCGACGCTGCATATCCTGAAGTGGGGAAGACTGGGTTACGGATCTTTAAGCTAGATGCCATACGGATATTGTAATTTCGTTTGCTCTCTATGGAGGATTTTCAGTCAAGTGAGTTTTTCGGTCAAGTTTCAATGTACAAATTTTCAAATGTGCGCGGAAACGTGCGCGCCTGCAAATTCTTCAAGGGTGCACCCTGGTAATTAGGCCAGAAATATGTCCAACGAGCTCATTAA